CCACACACTAAGTAAATACAAAGGAAGATATTTATTAGTAGTAGTGATATCCTATCTTGATGATAGAAGAAGACGCACAGCGCCGTGATCCTAAAGCAACTGGATCTTAATAGTAAATAAACGAAATTGATAATTAAATACAAACAGATGATTGGTTGAAGTCACGATTGATAATACAACACCAAGAAGAGCCTGAAATATATGATCGTGATACTGCTACTTTTATACTCACATATTAAAAAATGATTCATTTGTAATCTAACTCTTAAAATAAAGTGAAGCACAAGCTGTTTTGCCTTCAATTCTGTTTCAAACTGTACTGATTGTGTGTTTTGCTATACTGAAAGTTGATTCAGAGGGAATGATAGATGTTGAAATTGCAAGATAATCCCAGGCCAGACATGAAAGTGTTGAATAATTATCAGAATGAAGTTTCCACCATTCAAGAGAATTAATATGGTCCGCTTCAAGTGAAAGTTGGAAATTTTGTGAGTATTATATTGATTATTTGATAATGTACTTTGAATGAGAGCTCGAAATATGCTACGAGTTGAGATTAGTCTGGGTAGTGCTGTTTGTATATTATCTGAATTGTATTCGTCATACATTTTCTGTAGAGTGAATCTTACATGTGGTTGATCATCTTAAGAGAATGCTGAAAATTTGATACGCGGATCGAGAAGGGTTGTGATTATGGATGATTGATGAATTAAAGACCAGTAGACTTCAAGTTTTGCTTTTATTGCGCTCATTATTTCAACTTGACTATTGATATTTTTGACACTATTTATATTAAGATGCGCAAGCAAACTCATTATTACAATGCACACATCACCAATTGTCAGATAAGATGAGCCAGATAATAGCTCAGTTGTATCATTTATTGGCCAAAGAATTTTGATTATATCCTAGAATATATAAATATTTAATTGATTTCAGATTTTGATATTTAACATGATGATAAGTTAATGTAAATCTTTCATTTCTAATTAGTATTACCAAAGTAATGCAATTAATCGACACTATCTCCAAATCGACTATTGCAATATAAAATGGAATTCGAAAGTGAAGTGGTAGATATTACTTACTTTTAATATATCATGCTCAGCATATGTTAAATAATTATCTTGAAGATTTGGATGGCTTGCAACAAGAATATCTGTCATTATCTTGATTTTTTCGAATCGTTGAAACATAAGGTATGTTGAATTCCAACGAGTAGGCACATCTATTTCTGGCATTTTGAAGTTCTCTTCCAATGATCTTGCAATTTTTTTCATGTCATCCAAAAGTAATGATGAATTGCGCAGTTTGCTAAAAAAAAGCACACGCTTTTTTGACTTTTGATACTATCTTTTGTAACTCTGCATGTACACCTAGATTCAGAATATATGTGATACAACATAAGTGAATAACATTCAGATTTTCAAATTGTTGTTCAATCTTATTATGCAACAAGGAACTCATTTTAATCATATTTACTCCATTGTCAGTGGTAATATTCAAAAGTCGATCACCAATTACAAAGTCACTGAGTATACTGCAAATTGTATCAGTTATATTTTCAGCTATATGCGCATCTTGCAATGGAACAATATCAAGAAGTAAAGTTGCATTTGCCAATTTATGTTGATCCAATATATCGTAATACCGAGGAATGATTCCATAATGCATGCTGATCAGATATCAGCTGTTAACGAGAATTTACCAGGTTGCTGAACGAAATATGCTTGTAACTGAACACGTCAGCTATTAAATCCATTACTTATTCGTTTTGCAATTGTTTGTCGACAAGGAAGTGTATATTTTTTATTAAGTGCACTAACAAAAGTTTTAAACCACTTGCTATCTGTAAGCATGAATGGCATTTGATCTGTGACAACCCAATATATAAACTTTTTATTGATATTATCAACTTTTGCTTGATCTTTGTGTCCATATGGGTGAAAGCGTTGGATATCTAGAGGGTGCTGATTCATTACAAGATAAGTACTATGATGTTTTGCATCAAAATGTAAAGTCATTGTTGATGTTGCAGTCTTCTTTTCAAAGTGAACATGATATATTTTACAAAGTGTTGAGCCATCAGATTGTTCAATAATATAATCATGTACAGCAACCACCTTTCTATATTTTGTCAGAGTATTATTAATGCTTGGAGTATGGCTTGGTGCATTGCTTGATCCGCTATTTATTGACATGAAACTCTCTTCCTGGTTTTCGTTAAGTAACATTTCATTATAACCTACATCATCAGTAAGAAACAAAACTGGCTCA